TATATATATATATATATATATAGGCCTAGTATTATAATTCAAAGATCAAAATGTATCTATAATTACTGTATAGCATTACCACATGTAGTCTTTGTTTCTACGTCTAAATTCTTACTAAACCAAATAAATTATTAGACCTAATGCTCAGTTTTCTAATCAGATAATGATTATTTTTCATTTTTAAGGGGAATTTCCATGGAAACTTTACCGTAACCAACCCCGCATTCGGAGTTAACATCTGTACTTCGTTTTCGTTTTCTGTTTCCTTCTAAAAACCAGTGATATTGTGTTGTATCACAACCATGGCATTAGCTCTCACTACAGCTTCAGAAATGGAAGATTAAATAGTGACATTAGTTTGAACATAGATGTATAGAATCGATTATTACGATGCTTAAATTAATTATTTTGATAGAAATTGATACTTATGCACTGATATGTTGATTCATCTCAATACGTAATTAAATTTGATTGAGCACTAACAATCGACATAGAACCAAATAGCAATTGTATTATAATGATGTACTGTATATTGAATCAGTATTGTCTGTGTATATTACGTTTTTGTTAGTGACGAAGGTGAGAAAATCAGAGAAAATATCAGTAGGAAAATATACCAGTAGGAATAAATGCCACAACAATGGAACCATTTAAAAATAGGGAATTGTTTGTAGCACATAGAGGCACTATCACACACCCATATAATCCTACTCATATTTTTACTACACCCAAGATAAACTGGCACACCAAAAGCTCCTTTCATTTTGGGCTTACTCTGGCTTCAAGCTCAAGTACAAATCATCAGAAGGCATTGTTAATTCAATATTCTGATAACTGGTCTAAAGCAAAATCCACTTGTACAAGAAAAGCTACCAAAGTAAAGACAAGTATAGAATTGAATCAAGGCAAACTACTTTAAACAAATACTTTCATCTTAATTTATTAAAGTTTCTTGCTGCATAAATTTACAAAATCAAGACATCTGCACTTTGTCCAAAACAGCACCATTATGGCAGTACCCTAGTATTATAGGCTTTTCTCCAACTTAAATTCACTAAGTGATTTCTGATTATCAATCAAAAATCTTTGAAGACTTAAGATAAGATAGTGGTATAGTAATACAGTGTCAATCATCATTAAGCAAAAAGACTTATAATTAAAAATAATATAATAATAATATGCAGGACCAGGAGTAAACAGTTCCAGCCTGAAGAAGTCTACATCCTGTAGTGGCTGGATAATGGCTATAATGATGACGAGTTAAATTATTTATTTAAAATTTAAATGAAAAATAAGTGGAACATACACTTAACACAAAGAGACATCTCTCAAATATTAAATATTATATTGTATAGAATTAGAATGTGTCAACCATTTTTTAGGATGGTTCAACATTTCTATATATTTTCTTGAAAACCCCCCATTTCGTATTTGCTTGCATTCCTCTTATTTAAATAACTAAATCAGAAATTCTATGAAATTAACTGCAATTCTTGGCAGACTTTGATTTGGCAGAGTTTAGCATGAATCTTTGGCTAATAGCTTTGATATAACATTGTATAATATATCTTACCGTATATGCAATAATTAAATATAAGAAATATGATGTCTAGAAACTAAATTTGGTATTCACTACTCTGCAATGCAATGACAAAGTTAAAACATTTACAATGCCATCATTAATGAGCTTTGAACTGCTAGTACATCAAAATCCTGAAATTTTGATTGGCTAAGATAAAGTAAAACTTGTTTACATTCTTAACGATGAGATTTATATGCTCTTAAATGGCTCGGGGGGGGGGGGGGGGTTTTTATAGTTGGGGGGAGGTTTATATAGTTTTAATTCTGACACTTTTGCAAGGACTGAACCCAGTATCTAGGAATTTATGGCAGGTACCTCAACCACCACACCACAGATATGCCTCTATTAATAACATAAATATTTTATGATACAAGATATTCTATTAGTTGATGTAATCAAATCGGTAGCTCATCTTATGTTACCTTCAGTTCATAAATTTCAATTCATACATGGCTTCCCTATTGTTCATACGCTTGCATTGTTGTTAGTACAGTAATACAAATATTCTAGTAAAGAAGAATACATTAGTTTTTGTAATCGCAACATTTGTACATCATCTGGTACATGCGTGTAATTCATACATGTACTTGCCTGCTTTATGTATCTGTATTGTTTATATACTTGCCAATAAAACAATTATTCTATCACAGAAGATATAGCATTAGTTGCTTTTATTTGGATGGGTGTTCACTACTACCCATCATTTTCGGTTCATGCGCGTAGTGCATGCATGGGCACCATATTGTTCATGACTTGTATACAGCATTCTTTACTCAAAGAGCTCAATCTACATGACTACGTTGCTTCGTCATCTTTTGAAAACATGCCCCAATAAGCCCATACAGGACTAAAATCACAAAAAGTACAAACACAGCACCAAATAAAGAGAAGTCCATCCAGTAGAGAAATGCGAAGAAGATCAAAAGGTAAAGGATCGTACGGTAGCTAGCCAAAAATCGCAGACATATACGTGGATTGTTGTCAGGTTGAAGGGTTTCGTTGAGCTGGGTTGATTGCCGATACGGTGGCTGAAAATATTGGTAGGCGATGGTCCCTAAAAATCCATCTCTTATACAAAGATATTTAATTTCTTCTCCAAACTGAAATAAAGTAATGTAAGGTTCTATCAGTGTACACTTATGATTTACACTAGTTTCAATAAAATCAGAGATAAAGATTTTCTAAGTGACAGCATGACGAGAGTCGGTAGCTATGTTAGATACTTATTACAATATAAAAAATTTGAATAATTCTTTACTAAACAGATGGTTCAACAAGGTTTACAAATCTTCTTTTTTAGTGATCATTATTCAAATATATATATATATTGGTGTGACAAGCCATGATAATGACTGTATATGGGCAAACCAACCTTTATAGCGTAAGAAGAACTTTCATTATCCTGCAATAAGTCAAATCGTAGTTCTAACTGCGCATGCCAGTACTGAAGGTCAATCGATATAAACAACCATTTATCACACACAACATAGACTTCTAAATAGGCACGGCCTTTTGGAATCGTCAACATTTTTAGGAAGCTATAAGTAGCAGTCACCTTTACCATAAATATTAATTTATTAGTTGATGCAAGTATTTTTTTACACTATGCATCACATCACAGTTTACTATTTTCAGGCATTTCCGAAGTCCACCGCAAATCTTAGAACTAGGTAGGCCTGGCCTATCATGCTCTGTGTGTTAAATGATTTATGTTGACTGACCTTAACTACGGGCATGCACAGTTCTAACTATGAATTGGCTTATTGATTACTGTCAGATGCAATGAAATAAAATAAAAGTAAAGTGCACCCTCCAATTAGAGACCCCTCTAATTCGAGACCACTTTTCCAAAGACCCAAATAAAAATCTCCAACCTTTTAACACAAAGCTAGCCCTCTAATTGGAGACCAACCCCGAGACTACCCCAAATTTTCAGGTCCCAAAGGTGGTATCGAATTTGAGGGCAAACTGTACTGAAGAATTTACAGTTACATAACAACATACAATTTGTATTTACAAATAAAGTTTTATATATTACATCTAAATTTATTTTCATGAACTATAAATTAATCAATATCTACAGTATCGGTATTCAACAATTATCAATTATTTCTAAAATAATTTTTACCCCAATGGAAATACTCACAACTTGATTTAAGTGTGTACATACTCTGTTGAGCAAACGGACAAGATGTTTGTTCTCATACGTCCTAATAGGTTGAAGATCTGGGTTTCCACCATAGGTGACATTACACCGTCGCAAACCATTGGCCAACTAGTAAAGACCAAACAAAAGATTACAAAGTCAGTTTGTAGAATATCTTAACTGTTATACAAATAATGAATGTTTATGAGTGCAATGGGAAGAATATTTTCATGAGTTGAAAGCTTGACTGTTCCATTCTATGAGGTCAAGCTGAGTAGAATGGAACAGTCATTCTTTCAACTCATGAAACTATTCTTTCCAATGCACAAATACAAAAAAATTAATTATTCATTTTACAACACATCTAAAATAGATCCTTGTCATTTGATATTTTATTAAAAATAAAGTTAGGCCTACCTTTCTTCAAATCAGTAAGTTTCAACAGAAAAAACTTCAACAATTTGGTAATCATAAAACAGTTTTTAAACAGTTCAGTTCCAATTTTACAACAATAAATGAATATAAAATTAGGTCTACCTTTCTTCCAAATGGAACAGTCCATCTTCTTTCAACCAATGAAAACATTGTATTAGGTGGATGCATGCAATGGGATAATATAAATGGAACAAGAAATGTATGGATGGAACTAAATTTTCATGAGTGATTGAATGGGAGTAAATAACCAATGTCATGTGATACAAAATCCACCAATCAAATGACAAAGATATATTTAGGTGTATTGTAAAACAAATTAGCCAATATTAATTTCTTGTTTATTTGGTGTACTTTACTCATACCTGGTATCTACCTAGTGGGGTAAGTTCTCCTGCTGACATATCAGGAGCTTGCTGGTCACTGCCCCTAGAAGGGGTACTCCAAGCCATTGTACTATAATCTTTCATATCTTCAATCTAAAACATACAGTTTGAATGAATAAAAATTCAAATGAAATATGGCAAAATGTTTGTTAATGATAAATATTCCTTAATAAATATTAATAAGTTGTTCTGCCGACGTTATCACCTATCACTTCTTATGAAGGGTAGGAGAATAACTCATAACTCGCAGTGTCATTGTGCTGAATTGCATATGGGTGTGGTCGGTGACTACTCAACCGCCGTAAAGAACAGCTTACTACATGTTCACATCATTCCATGACAGAGCATAAAATGAACAATAGCCCCCTACTCTCTTTTCTTAAAGATGCAATGGGTTCTTTAAAGTGCACACATGCCAGATTTGTACACTGGACCTCCATTTTATTACCCACTGAACCCTGGATGCAAAGCAGCTCAAACCAGCGCCAATGTTAAGGCTGTATTTAACGGTGCCCCTGTCTTACCGCCCGGCCACTCGGCCTATAGTTCTTATGGAATGCAATGCAACATTGATTCATTCACTGTGATGGAACTCTGAGCTTATATGATGTTAAACCTGCTGATAAACTGGTTAAACAAGTTTGTTTTAAAATGTCTGCATAATTTAGTTACTTTTAAAAAGCATCACTCTCAATAGATAAAATAATAGTTTTCATAAAAATAGAGTTTCATATTATAGCCTTTCACAGAACATCATAGAAAACATATACTGCAGTCAAAGTACTTAAGGTAGCTACAAAATTACAAACAATGCTCAGTACATTTTCAAGTACTTGCAAAACAAATCTGTAAAGTAAATTTGATGGGAAGTGAACCCACGACTTCCAGATAACTAGCCTGGTGTCTTAACCACTAGACCAACAAGCTTGCGCTTAGTGTTGAATCCGATCCCCTAGTAGCAGTGGGTACTGCAATGCTATTCTGATGGTGTTTGCAAAAGGAGATCAGTAATAGCAAATGCTGTTTTTTCCCTACCTGACATGTTCATATAGTGGCAAAAACATCATTCATATTATTAATCTCCAGAAGCAAACAGCATCGGAATTATTATTACTATACTTGTGAGCAACTTCGAAAAGTAAGTAGAAAACTGGAGACTCAGCTAAACTGATCTTAAGTTTCCCTCACCTGGAAAATCTTAGCAAAGAAAGATTTGCTGTACTCCAAGTAACTTTCTACCTTCGCTCTGTCATTTCCAAAATCATCATCCATCATAAGTCCACTCAACCATGCAAAGAAACCTGTCTTGTGTTTATTGTTTTGATTCTCGTTACTTTGCAAAGTTGCTTTGGCCTGGGACATGCATTTGAACAGTTGCTCCATCTGGAAAAATAACAAGGTTATGGTCCACACTATCAAATGTATGTGAAACATTTGTGATGTGCCCTTATATGGGCATGAAGATGTCATATTACACCCAAGTATGGGCATATCACAGGTATTTGTCATCTAAAAATTGATAGTGTGGTCAAATCTGCCATGGAACCTAATGTAATAAACAATTTTAAGACCCAAAACTTTAATAGAATAATAAAGACTTGCCATCTGCCTGCTTTCAATTCCAAATAGGGGCTTGTATCTAAAGTTAGGCCCCTCAATCTCTGCTACCTGTTGTAGAACTGACACTGAGGAAGATGACGTGGTTAACGTTAAGAAGCTTCCACTGGCTGCCACTTGAGTATTTGACATCCTATCCATTAAGACACCATTGTAGTCTGTAGCCTTCACTTCAGCTGTAGTGGACAGGAAAAGTCACATAGTTTGTAACAGAAATATAAGCAATATTTTAAAGATAAAGATAATATTTACTATGTAATGACCAGAGTTAAATTAAGTTTACATTGTAAATTATGTAAGATATGCTTTTTGTGGTGAGATATGGATAAACCATTTAAAATTAAATTTTAAAAAATTACAAAAAAGCTCATTTAAAAAGATAAAGTTAATAATTTCCAATAAAACACTGATCAAAGTAATTCTGTTGTTAAGAAAATCCATTACCAGATTTTTATTCATCAGATTCTTTTATCACCAATTGTAAATGGTCATGATGGGGGGTGGGAATGTAAAGTTGGGGCTCAATGATTAAGTGAGGAGCAGCTAGCTTGCAAAATACGGTGATATGAGGTGATCTTTATCTACTTGAGCGCAATTTTTCGATTTTTTGGCTTAGGAGAATATTTAACGGGAGAAATTGGGCCCGTCTGCACCCTTCCCTAGATAGGCCACTGCATTCATGCCTTGAAAATACACAGCTTTTTATCCTGTGATATTATATTTGACACAACTTTAGTGTTAAAATGAAGAAGGGGGTCAGACAGCAATTCAAATTCATAAATAATCCAATGAGTAAGTCTCACCATCCTCTATGACTGAATGTAGATCAGCTTGTCCAAACACTTTCCCAACACGGTACAGCATCTGTGCATTCTTCGGAGCAGCAAGATCTTGTCTGAGCGCCCTCTGGACATACTCTTGATAAAGTATCGTGTAAAAATGCAGATTCTCAGCAACAAATTTCTTACTGCAATGAAAATTACAAAATCAATCATGAAATGCTTTCAAGTATTTTTGATATATGCATACTTTTTGGGAACATTAATACATGGAACAAATCTTGATGTTACTAACAGTGTAATCAGAAAGTTTCAAGCTGATAAACTATTGTGCATGTTAGTGAACTGTTTACGGTTATCACTGTAGGGGAATGTCTCAATATGTTCCAAACAACTGGCAGATCCAGGGATTTGAAATAGATGTGGCCCAGGGAGGGGATTTTATAAATGGGTGGTCTAGACCACCTTAGCCCTAACACCATCGTTGGGGTTGAGGTACTAAATTTTATGGCTATGGGGCATCTAGATGGTCAGAAAAATTTCATCTTTAAATTTGAATAAAATTTTCCTTTTTTTTTCTCTTAAATTTTCCAAATTTATGGTGGTGGGAAGCTGTTACCGGTTGGGCCCTGCTGAATCCGCCTATGCAACCAACCACCACTAGTGTGCAACTATGCTATTGAGTCAATGACAAATAATGAAGATCCTGATTATGTGTAGACAATGACGCTTCAATATACAGAACGCTGCCCTCACGTAAGAATGATCCAACTAGCCAAGGTGTAGTATGGGAAATCCAAGAGTGACTCACCATCTGTTGGTTAAGGGTTGATCTTTATCCTCAGTAAAAGTATGTTGCTGCTGCTCCAGATATCGCCATGGCTGGATGAAACTTAACCATGTTTCCAACATCTAATAAAAAAAAAAAATGCAATTATAATAAAGGTTACAATGTAAAATAAACACACACACATCAAGAAAAAAAATAGAAAATAAAGAATAATATATGAAAGTGCAATCCAAACAGAAATCATTGGGCAAGCACTGCATTGGGCAAGCACTGCATTGGGAAAGCACTGACACAGGAGCATGGAAACCAGTCTTTACACTGCAGCAGTGGTTCCATATTTGGGGTCTGTGGACCCCTTTAGGGTGCATGAAAAATAATTGAGAGTCCTCCAAGTAAAAAGGGTCTGCTATACTTTTAGACCAGTATTTCATGATTACATAATTTTTCTTGTCTTACTGCCAATCATTCAGAGCCTTATCAATAATGAAATGGCTCTGATATACTATAGTGGCAAATAATCTATAATCTTACCATCTCATTGGTGGAATATCGATGAGTGAACTTAAACTTAGGGGGAAGGGGTCTGTGAATGCAAAACTTGGGAACCACTGTATCAAAAGTAAGTAAATTTAGGCAAAAAGGCTATTATGGTGAAATGAATAAATATGCAATAAAACCTACCAATCTGAAGGACGAGTCCAGGGGCCAACGATCAAAACCATGACGAAAGAAAGAATACAACTTCTTTTGAACTATCAAGGGAATAACACACCTATGAAACAAAATACACCATAATGTTTATATCTAGGGAAGACACTCCTATGAAATATGGCACAATGACAAATTTACATTAATCATAGATTTATTCTCTTTGTTACATACAAAAATATGTGATTTTATATAACATTGAGATGTAGTTACACAGATGACTTTACCTTTTAAATTCTTCCAAAGGCTCTTCTGGCTGATGGTAGGGAGACGGAACAACTTCCTTGGCACTATTTGCAAAGAAATGTAGGTGTTTAATCAGCATCCTAACCAGCCTTACAAGATCTTGGCTTGGAAGAACGTTGGCCTAGAAATGGTAGGACAAAGTAAACAACTTGTGTTAGATAAATAAATATCAAAATATTTTATTTAGTGCAAATGCTAAAGAACTAATATGAATGCATTATGTTATGGAGTAGTTTATATAGCCTTGAAATTGATGGGGGCATGAAGGTGAATTGGGGGTGCAATGATAAGGTGAGGGGGGTGCTAGCTAGATTTGAGGTGATTACTACTACTTGAGCGTGATTTTTGAAGAAGACTGTGGGAAAGGAAACAAATATATTTTTGGGGGAGTGCTCCCCCACGCACCCCTAGATACGCCACTGGTTTATGGATTTGGATTTCTTTGGTGTGAAACACACCAAGGATAACCCATGGAAGTCCTGAGTCTTATTTTCTGTAGGGTCCTTTTAGTGAAATGGGCAGTACACCGGGAAAGAATCCCCTACTCTTTTCTGAAAAGTGTACTGCATTCTTTAACATGCAAATGGGCCATTTGTTACACAGGACCAATGGACCAAAATGTCTAATCAGAAAGACGGTGCGCTTTTTAAAACTTGCATTTCAGCCATCCAGCTGAAACACAAGGAGAGCAGCGATGGGAATTAAAGCAAGCGATCTTCATGGTTCAATGCACACACAGTGGCTACCACCAGTTTAGCTGACTGAGCTATAGTATCTGCTTACTTTAGAAAAACTACACAACTACGTACATGAACGCTTCAGTGGAGTATAATTAAGGCCAACTCAGAAAGCATTGTACAACATAGTTTTGATACATTTGTTGTTGCTTCGAGGTATGTGTGAAACGCATTATAATAGGTCTGCATCGGTGTCAGTTACATTGTAGAATATTAAACATTTTTAATATTGTCATGTCGACCTAAAGATTGTCCCCAGCGCTAGATCACATTCAACCTTAGCTTTCATTTCAACCCTCTAGCTGAAACACAAGGAGAACAGAATTGAAACTAACCAATATATATATATAGGATTTCTATGGATTCAGTGCACACACATCATATAGTAATTATTACCAATTTATCCAACTCTCTTATAATTGATGTCCATATTTATTCATTAATATATTTAATGAGGATGTTCCACTTTACAAAGCTTGTTTTTAGGTTTTATATTTTTTTTAAAGCAAATATAGCTACGATAAGATAACATACATGACAGATCAACACAACTTAAAGGTCAAAACAGGAATTGAGGTGGGTAAAAATAGGGTTAGTCTTCAAAGTGCAAAAGTACTACTCGCATTAAGTGAAAATACTCAAATTAAAAATTGTACTAAGCTTGCAATTTTGTATTACAAACATCCATCTAACTAAGCCCTGTCCAGACTATCAAATTTTATTTGACAAAAACATGTGATATGCCTAAATATGGTCACGATGACATCACATCGTGACCATATATAGGCACATCATGCCTAAATATGGTCATGATGACATCACATCATGACTAGATTTGGTAATACAACATTTTCGTCAAATCAGATTCGATAGTCTGGACAAAGGTTTACAAGTAAATTAACTGAATATTAAAAACACACAAAAGATAATGTTTAAATATATCTAAAGCCATATAAGTGTAAAATACATTTCATTTGCAGAGGGTTTTAAAGAGCAGGTTGATAAAGCATTTGCAAAATATTTAAGATAAAACTTTAAAAAAAATATTCAAAAGCAGTTGGGCTTGAGTATTGCATATAATATATTAATAGGGGGGCGGCAAACTTGTAACATGCAGTATCCCACTAAATTGTGAGACTTACAAACACCGCAGAACTCCACCATGGATGGGTCTGTAACAAATAAAGACACCAAAGATAAGATAACACACATGACAGATCAACACGACTACACAACAACTTAACAACAACACTTTAAAACAACAAAACAGCAAAAAAACAACAGCACAGCACAAACAACAGCGCAACACAACAGCACAACACAAAAATACAGCAGCACGACACAACAGCACAACAGCACATAACAGCACAACTGGAATTGTATCGAGCATAAAGTTGTATACTTACTCTCACTTGCTGAGTAAAAGATTTCTGATCATAGAAAAGCGAGTTCTGATTGAGCCAAAACTCAGCAAGCACCTGTACCATAACCTCTGACCTCCAGTTCTCCTGCTGACCAATCGACTCTAGGTGAGAATCGCTCTGACATATTGACGCAGAACGATGAAGCGTTGTATTGTGGGTTTGGCGTAAAAAGCTGGTTTGGTTTTGCTGTCGACTAGATTGCCTAATTAAAAAAAGATAAGAGCAATAGTCAAAAGGTTAGATGAGGATACTGTATGTGGTGTTAGCCAATCGATGAAAAGAGAGCTCAGAATCTTTACATTTTTAATGAGCAAATACTGTACAGATCAGTGCAAGGTAACCAAAATTAAAATGTGGTATCTGAAAATGCAATGGCATGCACAACCTACAATAACTTGGAAGTAATGCTGGTCGTGCAGTAGTAAATTTAGTGGTAGGTAAAATCGTTTACCCACTGTAAAATTGGTAGTGCAACAAAATACCACACACTGACAAACATAAGCCTTCAAAGTTAAGCTTGTTTTCCATACAATCGCTACACGCTATAGCTGACAGCTTTTGGTAATAATAATTGAGGAGTGAAATAGGGGAAAATTCTTGACTGCGTCAGGGACTGCTACGCAGTACAAAGGTCGCACTGAAAACACTGTAGCGACAGTGTAGTGATTTTATGGAAACCAAGCTTCAGTCTACATGATCATTATGTGCGTGCAGTAGTAGTGGTTGTAAATGTGTGTCATGCAGTTCTCAATTACTTAAACATTGCCCTCCATTACTCAATGCTTACTGTAACATTCAAGGTATATAATCAAATACTTTATTATAAAGGAATCAAGTTAGTTGATTAAAAAATACTTTTCACTACCAAATACGCTAGCAAAATTTCAACATCCAAATACCAAGATGTTGAATTCTTTATGATTACTTGCTTGCTTGATGTTTTTGTGTCGGTTGGTAACATAAGATTGTTTCGATAAAAACTGAGAGAATTGTCAAAAAACACTTTCATGAGAGTAACTGTGAACAGAAAAGCACTATCACTGATCACAAAGTTTGTTTTCAGCCTGATATATGTAATCTGTAGTGCAGATGTAGCGTGGTGGTTAAGATGCTAGCTTTCCAAACACTGTCCTGGGTTCAAATCTCACAAGAATATTTTTGCCTACTAAAGCCAAATCAACTCCATAATCCTCATATAAGATTTAGTTTATAAAGCACTGTCCTTATAATTTGTGAGTGTAGTTGCTGTTAGATTTGAAAAGATGTATGTATGTTGTGAGTATTCTGCTACGTATATCAACCCTATATGGATATGAATAGAAAACATAGCATTTCAGTTCACCCTCCAATTTAGACCCATGTTTGGGACCTTAAAATGTTGGGTGGTCTTGGTGTTCCATCTCCAATTAGAGGGTAAGCTTTGTGTTAAAAGATTGGAGATTGTTAGTTGGTACTGTACTTCAAAATAGTCGTCTTGAATTGGTGTTGTCTCGAATTGGAAGGCAAACTGAATAAGCCAAATAAAATTTCCAAAAAAAATTCTACCATAAAACATCTGAAACAATATATCTAATGTGTAAATGAAAAAAAAAAAAAAAAACCACCTGGCAACAAATGCATGAACATTACATGACCATTCTACTACATAACTAAAACTCAACATTAATACAGTACTGGTATACTGCTTAAACAATTGTGGAAATTGGCCAATAATAGCTTAATATCAGAAGAAAAAAGAAATGAGCAGTGGCAAAACAACGTAACTGCTATTATATTTTTGTTAAGTTATGTTGTTCTGCTTTGGAATGGCCATGGCGAATCCATGGGAGCCCCTCCCCCTGGAAAAGAAGAGAGAGAAAAAAAGGAAAAGAAAGGAGGAAGAGGAGAAAAAAGAAAGCGGTACATGATACCACTACAAAAGTTGTAATTTGTGTACTCGTATTGACTTAATTTTACAGCCACACCCCTGTTCGGTGCTTCGCCCATCACACGGCCCCCCTACCCAGACTTTTCTGTAGATCCGCCTCTGATGAGTTAGTGTGACATCAATGAATTGAATTTAGCACCATTAAACCTGTTACTGTTATTTATGAATCATATTATTTAAAATATTATGAGTAATAATTATTCATAACTAAGGGTTAAATATTCATAAAGTTTATGTAGTGTATTTAAAATTAAATTATTCACATTTACAAATAATACAATAATAAATATCCAAAATTATTAAATATTTATAAAGTTACAGTGCACCCACCCTTTTGTAAATATTTAAAATTGTCTGTTTAACCTTTACAAAAATACAATAAAAAATGTTATGAATATTCATAAGTACCTCTTAATATTCATGTCATAGGGATAGTAAATATTCATGTTCTAAAGCTATCAACATGCTTTGGTTAAGAGATTAAAATATGAATTGATGTAGGTAAATATAGGGTTATTTTTGAAAGTGGAAAAGTATTACTTTGTTCAAATGTTAAGTTACAATATCAAATAAAGTTACCACTCCTCATTAAGTGACAATACTCAAGTTAAAAATTGTAATATGTTTGCAATTTTGTATTAAGAGCATTCAATTAAAAGTTTATAAGAAATAAGCTGAACATTAACGATACACAAAAGATGTTTATACATATCGTAAGCCTTTTTACAATGCATTTCATTTCCAGAGGGTTTTAAAGATCAGGTTGATAAAGCATTTACGAAAAAAAAATTGCAGATAAAAAAAATTTTTTTTTGAAATATTCAAAAGCAAGGCTTGAGTATTGCATATAACAGAGGGCAGCAAACATGAACCATGCAATATCCCACTAAATTGTGAGACTTACAAATAACACCACAGAACTCCACCATGGATGGGTCTGCAACAAATAAAGACATCAAAGTCACAAAGAATTAAACAAATACATTATTGATTTTCATTGTGCATCAAATTTTTTGGCATAGAAAGATTTGTATCCTTCATTAAAAAAAATAGACATACTTATATACATACAAAAACATATTACAAATTTATGTAAGATGTTCAAAAACTGTAAAAATGAAAAATATAATAACTTGAATTATAAAAACCTCTTCCAAATTAAAATGAAAAAAAAAAAAACAATCTCTGGTTTCATAATGTTTTTTCTTTACAAATATTCAAATATCATGCACTTAAATTAAAGAACAAGCTAACTATTACTTCAATGAAGAAGAAATACTAAATTTAAATAATTATGAACTGAAAATATATAAACAATTTGAATATTTCTAAAATAATAAAGCACGGAACACTGAAATAATATTAACAGTAACAATAATAATTATAAGTACAATAACAATATTAAACAATAAAAAGTCTTTTATTAAAGTTGTTAGTTTATGTTAATGTGATTTTAATCAGATCATCAATAGTAAAAATGTTCACAACATTAACATTCAGTTGTAATATACTGGTCAGAAATGTACAAAACAAATAGTTCTTTACTATGTAACTGGTAGCTGAAGCAAAACTGTATGATATTTACATAATAAGACATTCATTAACACACAATATATTGCTTATTTGTATAAAGAAATGTATGCGTTAATTCACATGCAACAATGTATGCACACACACAAAAGAAATGCTGGTCGTTGGTTAATTATGCTAGTCTATATATTGGCGCAGTGGGAACGGTGTAGGTTACCATTCTCGAGGTCAAGGGTCTTCCGTCCCTTGATATGCACTTCGCTTGTGTTGAGCAAGAAACTTTATCTACAGTGCTTCAGTCTCCCCAACTCTATCAATGGGTACTAGAAAATTGTTGGGAGAAAGATGCGATGGACTGTTGTTCAACCCAGGCAGAATATCACTTTAATCTGCATCATGCTATAAAAACTGGGGATAAGCTCCTACATTACGAGTCCCAGTGCTTTTTAACCCAGGCACTCACTACGTCATACGACTGTCTGCTGAATTTTGGTGGCAGTATGAACGGATCATCATCAAAAAATGATCTGTTGCACACGTAGTGGCGTTGCCTCCTCCATAGAATCGAGTCAGCTGCAGTGAGTGCCCACCTTAATGGACTTACAACCACCTTCCAGTTTAGGTTTTTTTTGGGGGGTGTGAAACATTAACAGGATAACCCATAAATGCAAAAAATCACATGTGGGGTACATTTGGTATGGTGATTTGAACAGTAAACCTGGTAGCAAACTGAGGCATTATGTTGTGACAAAATGGCTAAGTTGTACCACAAATTAAAATTCAAGTTATTGGTATTTTCAGATACCTGAGTATGTGATCTTTAAAATGCAGGGTCATTCATTTGAAATTGGACATTTCAAGCCTAAGTTATTGGAAAGTGAAAGTATAGCACTCTTAGAGTCAAGATAAACATGATTTTGAGTAATTCCTTTCAAAGTTATATGTGCATACATTGTTTAATAGAACTATCAAATAATGTTAAATAAACGATTTGTTGACTACTTCCAGAACTAATACTTTGGGGCATGATTAATAAGACATTAAACTGTTCTAAAGTGAAAAACAAATTTAGATTTTCATTCAATTTTTTGAGCTCCCATAATTTATAGCTTATTTACTCAATACTGGCCTGTGCGACAACTTAACCACTTCGCCACGACATATCTCAACTATGCAGCTTTCAGCAAGAAAAGTGTGAAACAGAGCAAGTTATCACCCTTGGCAATATTAAAAGTTTTCATCTCTTGTTGTTTATGTTTATTTTTCACTATAAACCAGAAAGGATCATGTAGTCATGTAGTGTACCATAAGAACAGAAAATGACAATAGCCACTCTTACCATCTAGACCACTTAACAACCCTAGTCTCATCACCCTTACACTATACTACAGAAAATCAACGTATCATTAGGTAGACATAGCAATTGAATTACCTTGTTTGAGTTACACTTCCACTCTGGCTATAGCCAGGTGAGGCTCCCGTGTAGGGTGCAGGTGGCACTCTTCTGCCCCCAAGAGGCAAGAAAAAGTTTAGGTAGTCTTCTACCAGACAGGTATACACAGAGTTTTCTAAATTACATAGGGGTTGTTGCTGCTAGGAAAATAAAAGAAAATCCAGTTTAGTTGTTACTATATGTTATTCCTAAACATACTGTAAATTATAAGTTTAAACAAATCAATGCACTTGTGTAAATAAACCATCAGATAGTTTCAAGTGTGCATGTATATGTCAAAGGTCAAAGTATATGCTATCAGAATATAATTTACTTAACTACTGAACATGGGATAATCAATCACTATCTTTACTGGCTGCAAATGGAAAGTATAAAATGAAAAATTTAGATAAAGTGCAGATGGTAATATGCCATATTCTATGCCTTTATCTCTGATATTTATGCAAAATTTAAACTACAAGATACTAATTACAAAATGTACAAGTAGAGTGACCATCAAGCACAGCAACAGTGCTTCTCTGTTCAAAATCTCAAACTGAGTGTATTTTAGCATATTGAAAAAATGTGGTAATTTTTGAAGTAATTGTGCAAGGTTTCGTAAAGCCCACTGAATTGTTATATTTACAATACATAATAACAAAAAAGTAAAAATTTTCTTACCTGGAGTGACTGCATGGAGATAATAAAATAAGCAAAATGGAACATATAAAAATCAAATGCAGCTAAAATAATAATGTAAGGATAAGATATTATAAACTATGGCATTATTTATTTAAAAAACACATTACTATTTTGTGAGTTATCAATCAAGATTCCATAGTCACTAACTACAGCCTTAACATCGGTGCTGGTTCAAGACGCTCCTCGCCTTTCAATTGCAAATTAAAACAAAGTAATATTTTTCTCACCAATGGGTCTCTTCGGAGTGTCAATCAAACTAAATAACTGACCAATCAGAACACGGCCAGGAAAAAGTTAGTACTCTACAAACACACATGTTGTCCCACAAGCATATTTGCGTATGTTATTACACTGTTGTTTTTTAAGGTCTTATCAACAATATCCAAGGAGCGTGGCTTAGTGGAAAGCAAATCAGACAAAAACCACCCGGACAAAAACCACCCAAAAATGGACTATACCACTGTTAAAGTGGACGGACCTGTTTTCATCTAGCTTTACAAAAGGATAGTTTATATTGTGACATCATGTGATATGTCTGTAATCCATTAATTCTTTTGACAACATGCATGTAGGTTGATAAGCATTGCAGATTTCAGCAATCACTCTGCATAAACACAACACTGAACTGAACATTTTTAAAGCATTAATAACGCTTTTTATTTTTATGGTACTTGTCTTATTTATATAAGTAATGTAAATCACCCTCTTGTAAAACTAGATAAAAACAAGCCCACCAAACATTGTCCACCCATCTTCCCACCCCATTTAACAATGATATATTCCATTTTGGGTGGTTTTTGTCCTACATTCAAAGGTCAATTATGCATAAACAGTTTTTTTAAGGATACAGAGTTGTAGACAGTTTGGGGCTAAGTAGGAAAGCTTGGTCATGTAGAATTGAGGAACCGCTCCTTGCTTCATTGAATCTTTCGTTGGAGCCTGAAAGATTAAAACAAGTATTAATTGAACATTTGATATGAATGTGGATTGTTAGAGAATTTAGGGTGTTGCAGTACTACAGTATCTTTCATTCCTGAAAGACAATTCAATTCAATTTTTATATCTTTAATCATGTACATAGCCATATAGCTACACAGGACACTTGCCTTCTAAGTACAGTATTCTTGAAAAACCCTTATATATAAGTTTCAAGAAATTTTACATTTATTTTATAAATTAAGTCAATCAAATAAAACTTTACATAATTATTGTACTTAAAGCCTGCCATAACTATTTCACTAGTATATTTTATATATTTATGACCTTATGAAGTACTTAATTGCAATATTATTTTAACTTTCATTATTATCATAATTATACCTAGAAGAATATCTTTTTGATTTTGTAGTAATGGTTTTATGTAGCAGGGAAGTCCCATGTTCATGCGTAGACCTGGATAAGTTGTCAAGTGTTGTCTTCCATGTCAAATGATGTGAGCAGAGTGAAAAGAACACACATTTATTTGAAAAGTTACACAATGATTTAATAAATTAATTTAATAATAAAAATAATTGAAATAAAATGCTACTGTATCAAGTTAAATGTATTTATTAAAAGAGAAAAATTATAATTAAACAGCATCTTCATGGTTCTATATTTTTTATTCATAACTGTTTGCAAAATACATGCGAACCAAATCCGGGATTCTCAATATGTGTTGATTTTCTGTTGATTTGATCTGTGTGATGTTAAAAAATGGCTTTTAAAAAAGAGTAGAAATTCCTTTGTTTTTACAAATATTATTTTTTGGTCAATTAAGCTTGTATTTTAACAATAATATTTTTGAAAAAAAAAATTGAATTTCGTACACCACAGATTCATGGGTACATTCAAATCATATAGCCATGATAACTACGATTTTTTTCAGCTTAAATTTTGGGTGAGTTATTACACCCCCACTGGACCCGGGGTGGGCGTGGTTGCTGACCACCACTCCTAAATGCTGGTGACAACCCTGTGCTAGGCCTTATGGGAGAATAGTACTCTGTACCAAACAGGTCCCCAGCTTAAAGAAGAATAAAAAAAAGAAAAGAGTAAACTTTTTCTTGAGATAATCATACAATATAATTTAGAGTGAACTTACAGGTAGATATTCTGTTGAAAATTCAAACCTAACAGCAGGGTCAGCCTGCAGTTTGTATATGAGATCAAAGAGAGGCCCGCTTGGTGAAAAGAAGTCCCGAACAATCTTGAAGTCACTCAGCATACCATCCTTAGAAGATCTAAGGCGCACATCATGCCATGGATTATATCGACTGGTAGTATCTTGAAGATTGTTCAGACCCCATCCATATGGCTCGATGTGACTGAAGATGTGCTCTACAATCTTAGGAAATATAGGTTTAAGTTCCTGTAAATTGAATAGAAAATTGATAGGTTTATAACACTGTTTTTTTTTTTTAAACTCAACTGACTGAAAGCTGAATTTTGTCTTTATAAAACAAAGAGGTGTTCCCAACAGCAAAACACATTGCATGATAAAAAAAAAAAAACATTACTAATGATTAAAAAAATTACATTACTAAACATACAGTACAACCTGTATTGCTAGAGCACCACCCATCGGTAAAAAATAACATTTAATTTTTGGGCTTTTAGCGGAACCACCACCACTATAACAAAAATCAAACAATTTTGCTTTACTGTTTGAAAGACTGTTCAAGATGACTCATGATGAAGGTGGTGAAACTCTTACCATGATGATGATGAGGCTAAAGAATATGTTAGAAAAAGTATCATTTTGTTATGATGATGAAACACTTTTGAATATGAGGCTGAGAAGATGACAATATCATGATCGCTAATGATTAATTTAAGATAATGGTGATGACAATGATTACAATCAACAGTAATTAGGACAACAATGATACTAAGGATGAAGATATTAGAGAGCTTTTGCCAAACCTTATAATTGTACTGGTTAAAAATAGACTGCAGATCTTGGCATCGTTCTCTCACAGCCAAGGTTGGTAGTCTATTTATCCTCTCCTGTAATGAGAGAAAAGCAAATTATAAAGCTCTCTAGCTATATATAACTACAGTAATTTAATAATTAAAAAAAACTAGCCAAGGTCTAGCTCAAATTTGTGCGGAAAATTGCTTGGAAAATAGGTGCGCAGAATCGTAACAGGGCCTAGGTACTGTATTGCATCAATAAATTAATTAGTTATATTTTTGACAAAATCTGCATGGCCAGATCTCTGTATCTTAGATACAGAGGAGTTAAGATAAATAAGGGGTATGGGGTCTGAGGTCAGGGAAGAAGGGGGATAAGCTGAATGTGTAGTTTAGTTAGGGTATGTACAATAATTATGTATAATAATAACACATTACTGTAGGCCTATGTAAATATTTTTTAATTACTTTTAATTTGTACAGTATTTAATATATCTGCACTGGGAGAGAGGGAGGGGAATGTGTTGTGTGGTATGGTTGTGGTTCTAGAAATAGTTAAGGGCTTATAAAATAAGCATTTAAAGTAGGCCTATAACGCTACACAAAATCTGTGAAGAAAATAATAGTCCTAAAGATATCGTCGCTTTCTTAATTTCACGAACTAACACAATCTAATTTGATTGTGTTAGTTCGTGATGTGAGCGACGATATATTAGAAATAAAGTTTTACTTTGTTGTATAACTTTAGTTTTTGTTCTATAAAATGTCAAAAGGTCACATTGTTGTTTGCACATAATCCGCCCTAGTCCTATAATACCATATTTCCGGAATATAAAAATCACAGAAAATTAACTAGGGTTTAGTATAATTTCAATCAAATAAATGTTGTTTTAATATTTGAATGTTGTAGAATCTTTGACCTAGGCCCTAGGCTTAGGCCTAAGTTTTATTTAAAATCCAACCAAGATGATTTTTTTTCTTAACATTATTAAATAGGCCTAGTAGGTAGGCTAAATGTGGAATTTAGATAAGGAAGAATGGTCGTGAGGACACTGTTTATAACTTAGTGCCTTACCACAACCTATAGGGCAGAAGAAGTAGGCATGCTAGGCCTAGCTATGGCATAACTACTCCATCTGACCGCGGGAAGCAGCCGATACCGGCGCGGCGGTGGTTTGTATTTGTAAGTTCAACCACCACGACAATAAGCCCTCCTACTCTAGGCCTGCTATGGTAGCTAGGCCTAGGCAAGCCGGCCTAGGCCTAGCTCACACTCACAAGCCGTGAAGTATAGCACTGAAATATAAATTTGTCCCCAAGATAATATCTTAAAATACTATAATCACTAGGCCCCCTATAAATTTCCTACCAGAAATGGAGAAAAACGATCTCGATTTTGCTGAGAGTTTACAAACGGCGAAGACGACATTTTGAAATTGCTCCCAAAAACATAGGGGGCGCTACTCAGCCATAGAGCACAGAGCCATAGGCTATGTTCAGACACAACGACTTAAGCTTTGTCTACACTATCAAACTTCATCAAAAAAGCATCACATAAAATGTGATGGAAAAATATCATCAAAATACATCAAACTCCATCAAATAATGTGATGTACTTTGATGAAACGTAATTATCAAATCTGATTGGTTGGTGTGACTTTTAGTGTTTGGTTATTGGTCAAAAGGTGTTTCCTAATTTTAAACGTCCATACTATCAAATTTTTACATCAAAGTTGATCAAATAATAGAAAGATGGAGCAGGAGGAGGTGGCTGCTGTGTGTCTAATTGCTGAGATTATGTTAAAGAGAAAGAGAGAGAGGGAAGAAAAGAAAAAAGAAAAGAGGATGTGGATTAAGCCTTGGCTTGAGAGAAGAAATGAATTGGGAGCATGCGAGACACTAATGAGAGAGCTAAGATCGGAAGATAGGAAGGGGTTTGAGAATTATATAAGGATGGATTACATGCTATTTGACCATTTGTTGGAACTTGTGGGACCTACTATTAGCAAGAAGGATACCAACTTGCGGGAAGTGATCCCAGCACATCACCGTTTAAGTGTAACATTGCAGTTCCTGGCTACTGGTAAGTATTAATCATAATTTGTACTTTGACTTTTATTATGAAATAGTAATATGGCCAATCTTTAGGCTAATCTAGGCTACTGACGTAGTTGCTGCTTGCTTGTCACTGTATAATTTTAGCGCTTAACATTAATATTTATTTCAGGAGAATCTTACACAAGCTTGGCCCTGTCTCTTATACACATCTAGATGTGTATAAGAGACAGATATAATTCACTGAATTCTATTGAAATCAAATTATATTTACAGTATTTATTTATTTTATACATTTTTTTCCATTCACAGAAACTGAAGTTAAGCTAAAAATAAATTCTATGAGGACGTATTATCGCTCCGAAAGACGAAAAGAAACCGAGAGCAAAAGCAGTGGACGAAGCTCTCTTGATTGCTACATGTCAAGATGGCCTTTTTTTACAAGTCTTTCATTCTTGGCAGACCATGTCACCCCACGTAAATCTACATCATCTGTAAGTTGTTTATTTTTTTTAGGGGTGGGGGTTGAGAGAGATCCTTAGAAAGTGATCTCATAACTGTAGCAAATTTTTGCATGTCAATTATATTGCCACGGAAGAGGTGTCACTTCATTTACATAGTGACATAATTTTTCTCTAACATCTTTAGCAATTGATGTACTGTTATTGCTGCCTTGAC